GCTTTTAAAGCCACCTCCCTGTGGCATGTGTGTTATGGCAGCTCTAGGAGATTAAGAGAACTTCCTTCCCTCCCAAGGGCTGGGCTCCTGAAACGTGTTCTCTTCACAGACCACCAACTCTCTTCTTCCAACTGCTCTCTGGGGTCAAGGGCTGGGTTAGCTGGGCCTTCTCCAAAGTCGTCTTCTTCAGCTGTCTGTTGGCTCTGAGACCCTCAACCGTTCCAAGTATATTTATGGAACCTACTATGAGCAGATGGTGGAGAAGAAAAATAAACCATCTGCTTCTTGGAGATACTGACTGTCTAGCAGAGGACCCATCTGAGGTGTCTGCAGAGGACCAGGGAGAATAGCAGCAGAGGTCCTGAGAAGCATCCCTGCAGAGGGTCTTCTCTTCCCAGAGATGCACAGTGATTGCTCACCTTCCTAAGCATCTTGTCTATATTCCAGCAAAGGGCCTTACTGGGACTTTGCATTTCTTCTTCATACGTATTGCAGAATTCTTTTGTACCTCGAATAAATGCCAGCACTAGCCTAGACCAAGTCTAGAGATGACAGACTTGGATCACAAACTTGACTTCTAAGTTTCCACCTGGGGGAGCCTGGGGCTGATGAAGGCAGGGTTGACCAGCGTGAGAAAATGGAGGGATTTGGTCCTTGGACCTGGAAGGGAGGGGGCTGAGAAGGAATGGAAGGGGCAGAAAAAGAAGAGGCAAGAGTGGAGGGTCAAACAACAACTTGGAAGGCCAGACTCTGAGTTGTGGAAAGAATCTAGAAATATTTGAAAAGAATTAGGAAGTCTAATATTCACTTCCGGATTGCTTCCCTCTTGATGCGGTCAACTTTTCCATCTATCTCAGTTCAGTACATTTGGCCTCACATATACCTACTGTGAGCAGGTTTTGGTTTTTTGCTCTGTTTTTTTTTTTTTTTTTGTTATATTTTTAATGAAAATTAAAGAAAATAAATAATTGTTACATCTGTGTCAACATGGTGCAGAACAAACTTAATGGCAGCAGGAATGCAGAGCTGTCCTGGGATCAGGCCCTAGGGATTTGTAGACACACTGAGGAGAGCATTCAATGGTCTTAGTGCCAACATCCATCCTGCCATATTGGAAAATGTGACCATACTTGTCTGACACAGTTTGACTGTGGTTCACTGCAGGATAGCTGTCCCCTGCATCTCTGAGGTCTTTGTCTTTAAGTGGCTCGCAGGCAAGCTGAAGAGCTTGCTCCGGCTGTCCAGGGAGGGCTGTTCAGTTGGAGATGGTCACCACCCAGTGTAGCCTGCACAGGCAGTGGTGGCAACTGCAGGTCTAATGTCTACAGCACGAAGGGAAGTCCAGGAGTACTCCCCGAGCCCCAGGGCAGCCACAGCATGGCACCTGCAAGCCACATGAGCTTCACACAACAGTCGAGCTTGCTGAGCCTCAGTTTCCCCAACCACGTGATAGGGGATTACACTTGCCACCCAAGTTTGCCATGAGCACTCAATGAGCCTACCCACGGACAAGCACCTTGTTATGTCCGCAATAGTCTGTTGTTGGTTCTCTGTAACAGTGATTATGGCTGACACCCCACACTATCCATGCAGCCTCCGTCATGGTCTTCTTGGAACTTCCTTGGCAGCCACTTACTATGCTTGCTTTCCTTAGTCCTTAGCCTGCTTTGAGGGGGCAGTGGTGGTTCAGTGGTAGAAGTCTCGCCTTCCAGGATGGAGATCCAGGTTCAATTCCTGGCTGGTGTACCTCATGTGCAGCCACTGCCCATCTGTCAGTGGAGACTTGTGTGTTGCTATGAGGCTGAACAGGTTTCAGCTGAACTTCCAAACTAAGATGGACTAGGAAGAAAGGTCTAGTAATCTACTTCCACAAATCAGCCAAGGAAAACCCTATGGATCATGACAGTCTGATCCATAACCGATCATGAGAATGGCATAGGACCGGGCAGCATTTTGTCCCGTTGTGCGTGGGGTTGCCAGGAGGTGAGGGCCAACTCAACAGCAGCGAACAACAAGTCTGCCTTGTGCTTTATTTTCTGCTTGATCTGCTGTGTATACAGCGCCTCTGGCACATCCAGCACTTAACCACCTTCTCCGAGTCCTGTCTGTGTCTGGGAGCTGGGTCCAGACCCCTGTGGCCCCCACGCTTCTTGATGCCATGAGCAGCACACAGTGAGGGTGGATGTTACTGAATGCCGTCTCCCGGGAATGCCTGCCTTCATTACTTGCATCAGGGGACTTTCAGGAGCAACCATGCTGGGCTGGGGCTCAAAAAAGGAGCAGATAATTAAGAATAAAGAACAACAGTGTAGGGTGACTGCCAAATGAAGTGCAAAACTTGTACGTATTACACGACGGCTAATGATAATAATAATAATAATCACGGTAATGATGAAGGTGATCATCTCTGCTCCAGCAGCCTGGTTTATAGCAATGTTAGCAAAAGGTGTAAGTCTGGAAACACATTCCTTTACCTCCGCCTCTTTATTGCAAAAACATAATGAAGTACAAGCCAAGAAGCAAATTCATTGCAAATTGCATAAAAGATTTGGGGCCGAAATGAAGCTGTTAAAAACCACATCTGTAAAAATGGTGTAATTATTATGGGTGGGTAAAAATCTGGCAAGAATTATTTTCTTAAATAAGGCGTAAAGGAGAACAGATGTGCTGTAACTGACACTTTTTTTTTTGTTTCACAAATTCTGAGAGAAAAAATGATCTGATTTATCAGATTATCCCATTTGTTACAGCACAGCTAGGGCTATAGAAAACCCCTTTGTCTCATTTTCATCCCCTGGAAAGGGAAGGTGGTCCGAGGGAACCAAGTGAATTTGCTCTACAAGAAAGCAGGCTCTGGAAGGGGAAGAGGGAACCAGTTTGAATGGCGAAGCAGGAACACAAGGGTCTGCAGAAGGTTCGGTGATGGGAGGGGCAGGTGGCAGTATAATCTAAGTAGAAAAGTGCCAAGCAAAGGCACAGCAGTATTTCAGGGTGAAGGTGGGATCGGAGAAATGGCCAAAGACAAAGGCAGGCAGTTTAGGTCTGGAAGTAATTACAGCCACGTGAAGATAACCGAATTCCACGTTACCTTGGTCAATGTCTGCAAAGGCGGTTTCGGGAGGTACTTGGGTTGGGTTTACTTTTTGGAGCTTAGCAACATAAATTTGTTGTCACTGAACTATTAGATACAATGGACACATGTTGGCAGAGAGGGCCCGGCAGAGGCAAGGAACTGATTAAGGGACAGTCTATGAAATAACCGCTTCAATGGCCCCACTGCACGATTTTAATATCCCTCGACAACACTCAGTTGTCAAATTCAGCTAGAGTGTCCAGGATGCTACTAAAATTAAGCCAGAAATTCCTAGATTTATTCCAGTTCTCTCTTCAGTTAGGAACAGGAAATGCCAGTAAGCTGGGAGAACTAAAGCAAGAAATAAGAAACGAGGAAGAAAGAAGGATGGTCTACCAGTTTATGAGAAGGCTGCCATTAAACCTATAATGAACGTCTTTCACCTACCCGCGAGAAAGAGGCGATGTGGGATTTTAATTGGACTTTTGGCTTTTCTTCATTTGATTTAAACCAAGGTAGAATTTCAAACAGCAACACTGGAGCACCTGGTTAACACGTCAGATGATATGTACAGTTGTAAATTGTGGTTTTAATAGTTGCTCGCTGGGGGATTTAAAAGGCTCTCCTTGTTCGGTTTGGCAGATATTAAAAAAATCACAAACTACTTGGATTTAAAAGGCACGCACGTGATTTCAATGTGACTTAGATCATGAAATTTGATCATCTGACCCCACTCAAGGCCAGTGTATCCCGGGAGACTCAGGGTCAGGTGGTGGGTTTCTCAAGTCCTCCAAAGTCACTGCTTTTCTTTGAAGTTAAGAGAAGTCCAGTAATTTCGTATTTCTAAGAAAACAGGGAAGTTTTTCCTTATAATCGTCAAGGTAAAACCATGCGGATGCATATATGCGTGTGAGCAAGTGCGTGTCTGAGTGTGTCTGAGTGTGTATATGTGAATGTATGTGTGAGCGTGCATGTATGAGAGTGCGTATATGTGTAGGTGTGGTGTACGTGTATGTGTGCTAGTGCGTTGTATGTGTGGTGTGTTCATGTATATTTATGTGTGTGTATGTGTGTGTATATATGTGTATGTATTCATGTATATGTGTGGTGTGTGTCTGCGTGCATGGGTGTGAGTATGTGTGTGAGTGTGTGTGTCTGTGTGCATGTGTACGTGTGTGTGTTCATGTATGTGTATATGTGTGGTGTGTGTCTATACGTGTGCACGTGTGTGGTGTGTATGTGGCATGCGTGTGACATGTGTATGCTCACACATGTATACTCTGTTCTTTCTGTGTGGATGTGAACTTGAGAAAGTGCATCAGTGGATGCTGCGGCTGGGAAGTTCTCATCTTTCTTTTTGGAAAGCATTCACACAGCCCCAGGTCTCTGCCTCCTGCAGGTTGCTTGCTGTCTCTCCTTTAACCCAGCTCTTTTCCTCCTCACAGGAGGTGGCCATGCCTGGGAGCCTGTGTGGGGTTACCCCATATTTTAAAGTGACAGTTTTCAAAATACCTGCACAACTCTTGTCCTTCCTTCCCAGCTGTGGCCCCAGCCTGCTCGCTGCCCTGACCCCCAGAAGGCACCTATTTAAAACAAAGATGTGGGTCTCCCCCACCCTGAACCCATCACTCCCACCCCCTCCCCAGCCCCTGGTGCTCTCTCCTCACTTACCTCTAATTGGAGCCATGAACTGGGTTGGGACTTGCCCCCAGAGACGGCCCTTTCAAGAGCCGATTCTCCCCTCCTCCCAGCAGCTCCTTCCCACCCGCAGTACCAGTGCCCAGAGGTGGACCACCTTGGACTGTGCCTCGTCCTGGATCCCGGCCTAGAAGGACATTAATACAGAGCACCAGATGAGGGGGCAGAGGAATGGACAGCCGCTCTCCCCACCCTCTATTTGAGGACCAGCAGAGCAAAGCCCAGAGCTTCAGGGGAGCCAGGGCGGTGGGTCTGGGGCAAAGCCCAGGTGTGCACTCGCCGTCTTGCTCCTGTGGGCAGCGAGGCCACCTGCACAGAAACACGCGGGCCTCCAGGCCCTGCCCTTGTCCTGCAGGCTGTAGGCAGTGAGGTCAGGACAGGCTCTGACTTGAGCATTTTTTCTGGAAACATCTCTGGACTCCCTGTGTCTTTTACAGAAAGGTCTGGGGTATAGAGGGAAGACATCCTACCAAGGGGAAGGCTTCCAGAGTGGCACCACTGAGTCGTGAAGGGACAAAGGACCACCTTGTCTTCCTAACTAGAACCACTGCCACCATTTTACCCCCTAACACCGAGCCCAGGGCATCAGACACAACAGGTGCCCCTTTCCACACACATAGTGGGTGATTTGTCATCTCCCACACAGTGGGCATCCCGTTCCACACACATAATGGGTACCTTGTCATCTCACACACAGTGGACACCCTGTTCCTTGCAAAGAGTGGGTGCCTTGTTCCTCAAACACAGTGGGCATCCCTTTCCTCACGCACAGTGGGTGCTTTGTCATCTGTCACACAGTGGGTGCCTGTTGCCTCTCACATGTGTTGCCTCACACAGTGCTGCCAAGTGTCTGTTGGATGAGTCCCCCTAGCTTTTGCCCATCCCGGTCGGCCATATGTGTCATGTCTTTCTACTTCATGGAAGACTGTGATGGCGAGATCCAGGCAGGTCAGTCGATCTCTGTCGAGTCCTGCCGAGACAAGAAGTTCAGAATGAAAGAGCAAGGCAGGAAGACTGGGAGGGCGACTCATTACGGGGAAGGTATCGTCGGGTGACGCTGGCTAACTCAAGCCCTAATCGTGGCTACGCTGGTCGCCAAGACCGACGTGTCTCCCACCATCACAGTGGGTAGCCCACACACCTGTGCGGCAATGCCTGCAGTTCTTCCTAGTGTCCAGGGTGGAAGCTCTGCCCTGAGCATCCCCACCTGGGTTCTCAGCGTGGGGAGGTGCTGGCGTGTTCTCTTCAGACCTGCCAGATCAAAGCCAACCCAGATCATCCCTGGTCATTTTTACCTCCACAGAGTTTAAATCATTTATACAAATGACTTTTGTGGATCTGATATTCAAATTCTTACTATTCATGTTGTGCCTTAGATTTCAATATGAGAGACTAAAGTTTCTGTAGTGGTTCTAGATGGACAGTATGTTTTCACTTGTTTAGAGTCAGGTGTGGCTTACAGAAATTCCTTGAAAACACCCATGCTCCATGTCAAGGCTCCACCAATTCCAAACTGTGTGACCTCAGCCATATTGAAGCCTCAGTTTCCTCATCTGCAAAATGGGATAATAGTGATGTGTTACACCAGGTTGGGTGAGGATTCCATGAGATGCTTCTTGGAAGGAACCTGGTACAGTGCGTCTTGTCAGCTGCCATCAAGTTGACTCTGACTCACAGTGACTTTATGGACATCAGAACAAAACATTGCCTAGTCCATCATTATCCTCATGATTGCCAGAAGGTTTGAGTCCATCATTGGGGCTAATGTGCCAATCCCTCTCACCGAGGATCTTCCTCACCCTCGATGGCAGTCTACTTCACCAAACACGAAGTCCTCCTCCAGGATCGATCCCTCCTGATGACATGTCCAAAGCAAGCAAGTCAGACAATGTTTCAGTGTGATATATAAGATTTTCATCAGCTAGTTTTCAAAAGTAGATCAACCATTCCTTGTTTCCTAGTCTGTCTTGGTCTTGAAGTTCTGACGAAACCTGTCCACCATGGGTGACCCGATTGGTATTTGAAATGCTGGTGGCATAGCTTCCAGCATCATAGCAACACGCAAGCCAGCACGGTGTGGCAAATGGACAGATGGTGGTGGGTATAATGCTTACCCATTCCAAACACTCAATGAAGTTTGGACCGAACATCCTTCCATCTTTGTGCACAGCTGGGTGGAGACGGCAAGCAGACAAGGCAGCAGACAGCAGTGCCCAAGCTCTGCAGCCTCTCCTATGGGCAGGTGGATTTCTAAGAGTCACCTACCTAGTCTTACCATCTAGCCATCCTCTCTGTTCAAGGCTCAGCTAACTGTTCTAACCTACAACACATTTGCAGCCTTGAATCCGTCAAAGACTGGGTTTCTGGGCAGTGGTAGCCACAACGAGCAGTGTTCTAGGTATGGAGCCTTTCTAAAACCAAACTCTCACAGTTTTCCCCATGAAGTTGGATACCTGGATGTTTGGGGACAGTCCATCTGGGAGAAGTGCTGGTGGGGGTTGTCGGTTTTCACCAGCCGGAGGGGGCTATGTTGATGTTGGCATGGCTGCCAGTCCCAGACATCCAGGCTCAGTGGCATCCTCAGCTCATGGTTGGCGAGTCAACGAAAGTTGTGGTGTGTCTGACTACTGAGGGAGCAGCTGAGCCGAGGCTGGTGGGCAGGAAGCAGGGAGTGTTCATGGAATGGTGGCAGCTCGGCTTGGACACAATCAGGTCAAGAGCCTTGGTGTGGTGACCAGGTAGGACTCGGGGTCACATACATGCAGGTTGGTAGGGGGCAGGAGTGAGCAAGGAGGGCTTAGGTGGGTGGAGAGATGCCATAGGGTGGGCCAGGAGGGCCCTGTGGCGTCTCCTACAAAGTGCCCAGCTGCAGGGCTGCAGACTGGGGGTGGGGTGCCAGATGACCAAGTGTCCTGAAAGGGACTGAGCACCCACCACCGAGACTACAGTCAGGGTGCAACGTGACCAGTACAGCTGCACCACCAGGGTTTTCTGATTCCTGACTAGAAAGAGAATTTCAGTTTTCCCATGAAGGTCTTTTAGCAAAACAATCCTGTCTTGTCTCAGGAAAGGAACTGGAAAACTCTATCCCAATTCCAGTGCCTGTGCCTTCCCGGAGTGAGATGCAGCTGACCACCCATGGGGTTTAACAAGGTCAGAGTTCCTAGGGTCGCCAGGAGCAAGGCTCACACGAAGCAGGTATGGGAGAAATCACCTTTAAGTCCCAGGGAGAAAAAGAACCCAGGGACACCTGAGTAACACACCTTCACAAATGGTGATTGGAACAAACCTGCTGACCAGAGGAGCACCATATGGTTTTCCATGGCTGGCACTGGGAGCCAAATGACACAAAGTTCCCTGAGTCTGTGTGTATGGATGGGTATACGTGCTTGTGTATGTATGCATGTGCATGTATGCACAAGTAGGTATGTTTATGTATGCACACGTGTTTGTGTATATGTGTGCATGGATGCAGGTGTGAGTGAATGCATGTGTGTGCATGTTTGTGTGTATGTATTTATGTATGCACACATGCATGTTTGTGTATGTATGTATGCATACCTAGGTGTGCTTATGTATGAATGCATGTGTATTTGTGTATATGTGCAGGCTCATGTGTGTATGGATGTCTGTATGTGTATGCATGCATGCATACATACGTGTGTATGCGTGTGTAGGTGTGTTTATACATGCATACATGTGTCTTTTTGTACGTGTGCAGGTGCGTATGTGTGTATAGATGCATGTGTATGCACGCATATGTGTATGTACGCACATGTAAGTGTGTTTATGCATGCAGTTATGTGTGTTTGTGTGTGTGCATACTGGTGTGTATGTGTGTATACATGTATCTGTGTGTATATATGTGTATGCATATTTGTGTGTGCATGTGTAGGTGTATTTATGTATGCACACATATGTGCTTGCATATATGTACAGGTGCATGTGTGTAGATGCATATGTGTGTGTGTCATGTGTGTATGCATGTGCATGCCTGTATGTGTGCATGCATGTGCAGGTGTGTTTGTGCATGCACATGTTTCTATGTACATGTGTGTATAGATGCACATGTATGTATCATGCATGTACACCTGTGCATATGCAGGTATAGGTGTGTTTGTGCACACACATATGTTTCTGTGTGCATGTGTGTGTAGATGCATGTGTACGTATCATGCATGTATGCCCGTGCATATGCAGGTATAGGTGTGTGCATGCATGCACAAGTGAGTTTATATGTGCATACGTGTATGTGCATATGGATGCGTGGGTATGCATAGATATCATGTGGCTATGCATGCGTATTTGTCTTTATGGGCTCCACTTGACAGTACGAGGCACAGAGTGCTGCAGAGGATTCCAGGTTCTTCTTCCTGCTGGTGACATTCCATTTTCTGGCTTCAGAAGCTGCATGCTCATTCATTCCAGGAAGCCCCTGCCCCACAGGTCCTCCTGGCTGTCCCCGCAGGGTCTCACTCTTTCTGCAGCTAGAAAATGCACCTTAGCTCTCATAGGGAAGCATCTGGTAGGGTATCTAGTTTGGAGTTTTAATATGCCTCACTTCTCACATCACACTGTAAAAGTGCATATAACAAAATACCACGCAGCTTTCTAGACAATTTAGCAATAGCTTCGGTCACGTCCAAACCATGTAGATATTTTGGCCCAACGCACTTCACCTCAACTGCTTTGTTTTCTGACTCCCTTTTACCCTTGTAGCAAAAGACTTACCTTTAGCCATGAAAGCAAAGACCACAACTTCCCCAATGTGACAATATCGGGCAGTTGTGAGAGGACAGCCCTGAGGTGCTGGTTCTCGGTGCTGCTGGCTCTAGAGCTGAGTGGGGCGCAGGACGCCCTTCAAGGCAGTGAATGAATTACGGCCGCATCGTCACGTCTACATGTTGGTTTAAACCCATATTTATCCTTTGCGGGCTCAACGGGAACTCTCCCGAGTGAATCCTCGGGCTGCTGCATCCTCTTCCTCCTCGCTCTCCTCCTCCTCCTTCTAGTTCTCCACCCGGGCGTCCTTCTTGCCCTTCTTTTCTTTCCTCCTCCTCCTCCTCCATTTTCTCCTCTTCCTCCTTCTATTTCTCTGTTTCTTATTATCCTTCTCCTCCTCCTCCTTCTTCTCCTTTTTCTTGGCTTCCTCTTCACATTGGCCTTTGTCTTCGTCTTTTCAGCTCCTATTTCTCCTTGTGTTTTCCCTCTTCCTCTTCCTCCTCTTCTATTCTTTTATTAATGTCTTTAAGATGGCTATGCCTTCTTGCCCGGAACAGAGAAACTATTGGAATTTTAATTGGCCCAGATGAATTCTTTAGCGTTAGAGAACTCCAGGTCGGTGTAGACGCAGATGCCAATCGTAGCTTGGGTACCACTTTGACAGCTGGCCTTTTGTTTCTGTCTTTTCAATCTTCTCCTGGGCGGGCAGGGTTTGAGAAGAGGAAAATGTGTTTCCCTGCGCATCTGTCTTCCCTTCCACCATCGCCTCAGGCTTTCCACGCACTGGGTGCACAAGGAAACAGAATGCACTTGAATTACTGTACAGTACAAAGGAATTTAATTAAGAATATACACATTCGAATTTCAGTGGGATTGCCTATTTAATGTTACTTTATTAAGCCTTCCATCAAAACTTTTTTTATGTATAACAGTTGATACACAATTAATCTGTTCTCTTGTGAGAAAAAAAAAAAAAAAGCACCTGAGGTGGATGAGAACTATCAGATAGTAATAATTATAAGCAGCTGTTCACTTGGAGCCACCTCTGGCCTACATGGGGGATGCTGTGAGCTACCACTCCTCGCAACAGCCCACCTCATTAGACTTGACCTTCCCAGCTGGGGATTCCATTTGTGTTTTTTTAATGGGTTTGTATACTGCAAATCACAACACCTTATGAAGAAGGACTCTTTGTAGCTGTAACAAAAGGGGGCATGCAAGTTTATAGAAAAGCTGCAGCCCCAGTCTACTGGCAGGGTATCCGTCATAATGCAGGTAACTTTTCAGCCACCAGCTGGGGCGCGGCGTGCCAGCCCGATGTCTTCGCTGAGATAAATGTGTTCCCTTGGCTTTGAAGCTCCTCTGCTCCGTGCAGCTACCAGCAGTAAGGAAGTAATTGCCGAGTCCTGATTGCACTACGGAGCGTGATGACAGCCACTTAAAGCCAGATCTCCAGATCCACAGAAGCCCTCACGCCCAGCAGCACCGTGTCTCCACGCGTGGTGTCTTTCCGCAGACAAGGAGGACAAGTTCGCAGCATCCATAGATCAGACTCCAGAGGAAGCAAAGATTATAGATAAAGATGGAGAAGCACCGCCGCGAGGTGGTGTTGGGGGGGGTCTCTGCTAGAACATCTCTGCTTTCTTTCTTCCTTTCCATTTATGTTTGTAATAAACTCACTCTCATACAATTAGCCTCAATTGTTTTTATATCTTTGGAGGCAATAATACAGGCAGCCTGGGGAATACAGTAGTAATCCGTATACCTGTGTTCATTTACCCAAATCACTATGGTTACAGCCAGGGCAAACTGTTTACTATGAGAATCCGAGAGCCTCTTTCCAGCTACTAATGACCTTTCTGTTCTTCCAGAAAAATCAACAAAACAGGGAGGCTGCCCACGCCATTAAGCCAATTGCCTCTCAAGTTACAGAGGGACTTGAGCGGTTTCCTCATTTATTTTCTCTCATCTGATGTAACTCACATGCCACTTTCTTGTCTTTAAAGAAGGGGAAAAACTGTGGATTATTGATTTGCTTCTGAACAGAAGACCATCCTAAAAGCCCCGATGAATTGTCACTCATTATTGAAATTACTGAACACTAATTAAACTGGCAGCTCAAATCCCAGCAGGCCACACTCATCTGAAGCTGAAATTCAGACACTTGGACAGTGGAAGGGAGGAAGCGTTAGCAACCACCGGGATTGTAATAAGCTTTGCATTAATTTTTGCTTCTTAAAGGCACACAGTCCCCTTTGCAGCGGCCCAGCTTGAAGGAAGGCTGGCAGCTGAGGCCCCCTTTCCTGGTTCTTTGCAGGAACTGGGGGTTCTGGTCTGCCACAGGATTTTGCGACAACACTCAGCCCTTGCCCGTGGAGAGGCAGAGTTCGCAGCCTGAGGTGCCTGCCAGCAGGGCACACTGAAGTAGCGGGGCGCCACGGCTAAGCAGAAGTCTGGCTGGTGCTGGAAGGCTGGAGATTCAGACACGTTCAGCAGAGGAAACTGAGTCAGGCTGGCCAGAGAGGGACAGGACCGGCTTTCCGGGAAATGAGCAATGCCGAACAGCCTTTCCAATTCATCAAATCTGATCTATTTTCTAAAATATGCTTTGGCCTATTTTCACGGCTGCACAAACTCCATATAAATTATGCATGATCGTGGCTAATCCACCTCCTTTGGCTCTGCCCAAGTGGTAGCTCTCATTTGCTCAGCTTCAAAGGGGGCGGGTTCTGGGGAAGGAGCTGGTCCAAGGCTGAAATGTAGAGTTAATGTCCTGTAGACCCAGAAAAAGCAAAGCTAATTGGGCCTCGTGAAGGCCCCTGGACAAAGCCCAGGCATGTGAGGGGAGGAGGTGGCGGGTCGTGTGCTCTAGGCTAGGCATATTTAGACCAGAGTTTCTTGTCTGGGATATTTATTTCATAAGAGATTTTTTAAAGACAGAAATATAGAAAGTGCACAGCAGCAAACCTCCAGATTGAAAACAACTCAAATAACCATCAACAGGTGAATGGCAAGTGAATAAGCAAACAATGAACTATTACTCAGCAATAGAAAGGACTCACCATAGACCCACACAACAGAACAGAGGTACTCTTTTAAAATACGGTTGTTTGGGAGCTGCCATTCACACTATAGCATGAATTGCCCTGATTAGACAGTTTTCCTCCCAGCCTCATGAAAAGTTGTGTCTTTTGACAAGGACTAAGAGGATAAAAAATGAGAAGTAGCCTCGAAAGCAGAGGCAAGTTGAGAGAGAGCCGTGGGGATGGGCGGGTGCTCTAATCTAGGGGAACCTCTAAGGGAGGAGAAGAAACCAACTGTGTGAACTTAGGGGATAACTACAGCGCCAAATACAACATCTGAACAACATGTCCTGCTTTGGAGATTTCAAATTGAATTCACGAGTCTTTGTCACAAGCTGGCTGGTTTCGCCTCTATCACGCTCATGGGGTAGTCTAGGTGTGGGATCCACACGAGTAGCACCATCATAAGCAGGAGCTCTCATGATGTAGTTTAGGCGTGGAGTCCATGTGGGTAGCACCGTCATGATCAGGAAGCACTCATGGTGCAGTTCAGGTGTGGGGCCCTTGTGGGTAGCACCATCATAATCAGGAGCTCTCAGTAGTTTAGGTGTGGTTTCCATGTGGGTAGCACCGTCATGATCAGGAGCTCTCATGGGGTAGTTCAGGTGTGGGACCCTTGTGGGTAGCACCATCATAATCAGGAGCTC